ATACCCAGGCTGGATGCAGTGGCTCACGCCTGTAATCCCAACACTTTGGGGAGGCCAGGGTGAGAGGACTGCCTGAGCCTAGGCGTTCAAGACCAGCTGGGCAACATGGTGAGATCTTGTCTCTACAAAAATATCAAAAAATTAGCTGGGCGTGGTGGCATGTGCCTGTAGTCCCAAGTACTTGAAGGCTGAGGCAGAATCGTCTGAGCTCGGCAGGTTGAGACTGAGGTAGCTGTGAGAATGCCGCCACTACACTCCAACCTGGGTGACAGAGTGAGACTCCGACTAAAATAACAATAATACATAAATAAGATTCAGAGATAAAATAATGTGCATGAAGATCTGAAGCCAGTCAGCAACAGACCTTCTCCTGTCTCTCAGATCTATTTAATGTTATGTCATGTGGCATTGTAAGGTAATGTTTTCAAGAATGCAGCACGTTATAAGCTAGGTTGGATTGGCTGTTTATAGGGTCATCATTGATTAGGAAACATCTCTCAGATTTAACTTTTCCTTATTTCACTGACCAAATTGATTTCTAAGAAATCTCCACTGATGGTTTTCAGGTTCAACCAAATTGGTATCATTTCTCAATAAGTGTCTTGTTAATTTTGGCCTCACAGCATTTCCCTCATTTCAGAGCCCTATAAGCTCTAACATTCTCTCTTTATAGATAAACTCCTCCAAGAAGGTTTTCTGATTACTCCTTTTCCCATTAATGTTTATCTTGTTTTGACTTGCACAGTACTATGTTCAATTTGTTCTTTAAAACAAAGTAAAAAAATAAAAGTAAAAAAGATTCGTTTAATGTCACGTTGTTGCTTCTATCCCAAAAGGACAGAATCAATTATTTCTACTTGTTTTTGTTTTTCATGGTGTCTAAGACAATGCTGTGCTCCAGTGAACACTAAATATTCATTAAAGGAAAAAACTGTGTTAATTAACTTTGCTATGAAAGGGAAGAAACTAAATAAAAATTGAATAAAATTCTTTCTACCAAGAATAAAAATTTCTTGGTAGAAAATAAAATACTAAACTTTCATTTATCAGGTTTATTCTAATTTCTCAAAGACTAACTAGAGAGTTATGAGCACATGAGTCTGTAATCTACAAAAAAAATCACTTTAGTGGTGGATACTCTATTAAAATATTGATTCAGTGATTCTCAATCCTTGCTCATTCAAATCAACTGGGAAGCTTTTAAAACTACCAGTACCCAGACATCGCCACAAATCCACTGAAGCAGAAACTTCACAGGTATGCCCAAGCACTGATTTGCACATATCATATTGATATTTGATTTGCATAGATTGATTTTCACATCCCCACTCTTATGAATAAATTTTTCTAGAGAATGAATGTATTCCAAAGTGATTTTTTTGTTGTTCTTAGAATCACAGAATTTTAGAATGGAAAGAGAACTAAATATGTGGATCAAGCCCTTGGATTTGCAGCTGAGAACACTGTAGTTTAAAAGAGCTTGAGTGAGTGGCGGTTGCCCAGTGACAGGTCATATCTTGAACTAATAGAATTCTCTGAACTCCAATTCTGGAGCTGTAGCGACCGGACTGAGCAGTTTAGGGTCTAAACTTCTGCTTTCTTCTAAAGAAAATGTATAAAAAGTATGGCATGTGGAACAGCTACGTTTATTTTATTTCCATTTTCCTTTTTTAAATTTTCTTTTTAAAATTTTCTTTTAGAACCATGAGGTATATGTGAGGATTTACGATAGAAGAAAATTGTGTGCAGGTGGGGGTCTGGACTTCTAGTGGGCCCTCTCTCCCCTTGAGGGGGGACCTGGCACCCAGCGTGTGGCAGTGTGCCCCTTATCCCTCCTCCCTTTCTAGAAGTGTCCAGCATCGAACAGTTGAATTTTAAACTGCTAACACCAAATACTCCTTAAAGACCTTGAATATGGCACATGCCAACGAGCTCATTGTCATGGCAAGAGGAAATGCCACAGCAGGATATATCAAAGTCCAAAATAAATGACTAGTATCTATTGTCAGGCTTTTTCATTGGCTCTAGCCTGAGAGTCCATAACATTTTATATTATCAAAGCCCAGGGCGCTTCTAGCTCTTAACTATACCACTTGTTAGCAGATGTATTTGCTTATGAGCAAGCTAATCAACACTCTGAACTTCCCTTTTCTTTGTAAAAAAGAAGTTAGTGCCTGTCCTATTGACCTTGGATTTTTCTTTTTCTTTTTTTTTTTTGAGTTGGAGTCTCAC